CTCAGTATTCAATAGCAGATGAAGAATATGTAGGAATCAAGGCGCTCAAATCATCTGTAACGAGCCTACGATTATTTCCAATTCATCTATAAGGACGTCAGTGCCAATTTTGGTGACATTGCTATCACAACACCAAAGACCCTTAAAACCGGTTGACGATAGTTCTCGGGATTTTCCAAGTATTGTCCTGACTTGGCCTTTGTTCTATTATTGGAGAGTGGCCAACCGGCCTGGGTAAATTTCAAAGTAGCAATATGTCTGAGGGAACTTATGGTGAGTTGCATCAACACATTGCCCTTTATGCCGTATCAGATGGGGACCTGCTTGAATGCCCAACTAACACGCTTGGTGCCCATCCAGTGGAAGGAAGCTGGTACTTCTACGCCCCAAATAAGGGGGTGGCCATCTTCTTCACCGTGGCTTTCTGTGCAACCGGGGTCGTCCACGCCTGGCAGTCCACGTAAGTACTGGCCCCGAAGACTAAACTTGTAATGCAACAAAGTGGCAGTTGGTTGCAAAATCTGCCTGAATCTGTGTTCTTGGGCTGACACGGGATGGTCTCAAACGAGCAGGCATTACAAGTGCTGGATCCTGACGCCACTCTTCCCGTTCTGCGCCCTTTTGTTCACTGTGGGTTTCGTCCTCCGCTCCATTGGCGGCTGGCACTATGACATTCTGAATGAGTATATTGCGAGCCTTTGCATCACATATGCTGCACCGTGCGTTGTCACCCCCTCCCTTCCGTGTAACCCCAGTCTCCCCTTTCCCAGTTTCTCGTCACTGTAATCACATGTTTGCGTGATAGTATCACTGACCCGGGCCCAGTCCCCTCCTCGAGCTCCAAAACTACCATGTCCTCGGCCGCATCCTATATTATGTCCCATACCACTCACCGTTGCACCCGGGTCGAGTGCTGACGACCTTTGGTTTCATCTCGGCCATCATTGAGGCGCTTAACGGGTGGGGGGCATCGTACTCTGTCAACCAGAGCCTGCCTGAAAACCAGCGGGCCATTGGCCACGGCCTCATCAAGACCGCGCTGCTCCTGCAGCTGGTGGTGGCAGCGTGCTTCCTGCTCCTCGCGGGGACATTCCACCACCGCTGCAGGAAACATGGGTCCATCAACGGCCGCCTGTCGAGCACGCTGTTGACGTTGTACATTAGCGTAGCGCTCATCGTCGTGCGTACCATCTTCCGCACGGTCGAGTACTTTGGTGTGGCCGCAGTCAACTTGAGCAAGATCGAGGACCCCATGACCTTGTCGCCCTTGCTCCGCTACGAGGCTTACTTTTATGTCTTTGAGGGGGCCACCATGATCCTCAACAGCGTTCTCTTCAACGTTCGCCACCCCCGCCGGTATCTTCCCGAGAACAACAAGATCTATCTCGCCGAGGACGGGGTCACGGAGGTCGAGGGGCCCGGCTTTGAGGATGGGCGGCCCTTGTGGCAGACTCTCCTGGATCCCTTTGGCCTGTGGAGTAAGGACAAAGCGTCCCAGGCAAAATTCTGGGAGAAGCAACCGACCCAGGTTGAGGTGAATGCAGCCGATCAAGGAAAGGAAAGCCCCAACGATCATAAATGACGAACCCTTTCCATTGGCTGGCTGGGCAGCATGCGCCGTATTAGTGGCTCGTTGCTTGCCAAGGTCGTCTTCTTCTTCCCCTCACCCCCCAGTTATCATCAGCTCGCAACTGGCCATCCGGGGGTTCAGGGGGGAAGAGATGATATAGATTTCCTAGCCCTTTTCCCTCTTCTGTTTTTCTCTTTTTGGGATGTCTACCGAAAGAAGCAATGCATTGACCATCGAAGGATGAGCGGGATGGAGAGGAAGAGCGATTCCTTACCCCAAAGAGGTTTGATTAGGCTCGCCAAGCGGCCAATTGTTTCCTCCCGATCAGCGGATTCGCTCTGGCGGGACAGTAGTAGCGCGTACACACAGACAGACAAGCAGAGCGACGATTTTACATAGAAACAGTAAACAATAAATTGCTTAATTAATCGATTGTCGTTGCCGCATTATTGTGAAACGACTGGGGTCAGGGTTGGTCCTCGGAGCTTCTATCTTCAGCATGGTCGAAGCCGGAAGGCGCCCTGGCCGAGCCTGGCAAAGCACGCTCGAGCCTCATGTGTGCAAATGCGAGAAGGGGTTAAATACCAAAGGGAGAAACTCGGTGGAAATTAATTGGGAGGAGGAGAGATAGATCCAAGGAGGGAAGACGCCTGTTGGCTCAAGACCGCCCTTTCTGCTCCCCTCTTTACAGCGTCTTGGCGTGGCAGGGTCGGATGCTGCCGGTTTGGGAGAGGATGGATATGGCGATGGAAGAAGCTCGATATTAATACTGAGGGTCTTTTAATAAATCCGGTCTATTCAATTCCCCTGTGAACCGGTGCGGTGGGATGGAGGAGCTAGATTAGTGGCAATAATCCAAGGGAGCTCATGAAGATACCCGCGACCGCCAGGCACGACAATCAGTGAGAGTTCAGTCCACTGGGAGCGCGGTGGAGATCCAGAGCTATAAATAAAAGCAGATGCTCCTTTTGTCGTGATCCAATTCCTCTTTGGGGATAGAGGAGGCTCCTCCTCCAAGACAAGGGTCCAGGGTCCAGGAACCACAGATTCTGGGTCAGCGGCCGCTTGGACCAAGCCATTGGGCATTGCGGACGGCACAGCAAACAAATGACAGCAGAAATTCTCCCGGTCTCATGATGCAGTTGGGTTGTCCGGATGCATGGTGAGGAATGCACATTCGTGGTAGCAAAATGCGAGCGACCGTGCACAGCTTATTGCAGTTGTTGGTCGAAGGTTGGGCTCTGCAGGATGTGTTGCTATGGAAGAGGCGAAGGTGTTGGCCCGCCTGTTTGCTGCTTGAGCCCGTCCGATATCCGGCTCAATTGCATGCTTTTTTGGGAGCCAATTCATTAATAGGTTACTAATTAATTAAGTAAGTATAAAAGAATACATTGGCACCCTTCCCTCTCCCACTAGGCATGGGAGCTGTGCAACGGAGGAGGGACCTTGCTCTTACCACAAGCTTACAGAGTCCATCTATAGCAGAGTATCAAAATAGCCAGGCGCATTGCGTTTAATGAAGGCAATGCTAAGGATGGAACTGCAGATGGCTAAGCCGAGGGGGAAATGGCGGGTTCTTAGTGTGATGCGGTTGGTTGCAGCGCGTGCCACAGCAGCTGTCTCGTCTCGCTGTCGCCGGTGGTGTAGGGCAGTGTAGCAGGTGGTGCACAGTGGGCGGCACATCACAGCAGTGTGGGTGCAGCAGATCGTGGCGGTGACGGCCACCCGACGCTGATCTCCAGTGTAAGTCCCCTCGGAATATTTCTGACGAGCGTATCCGACGTTGCTCTCGGACCGACACGCTCACCTAAGGACACCGTAGTAGTCTCCATGCAACGGCAAGTATAGGCACATCCATGAACTGCTGGCTACATTTACTTCAGAGAGACACTTTGGTGAGAGTCCCTGCATTGACGGGAGTCTGACCGCTGCTGCCAGTTGGTTTCCATCGAACAAGGCCCCCGCGCGCTCTGGGCAACAGATGTCTTTTGCTTCGGTTAGCTGCACGGTGTGCGCGCATGTACCGCGACCGAGGACTGTGGAACTGATTGTCAGGCGAGGCCAAGCCAAGTCAATGCTCAGTCAGTGTAGTTCTACTTGGCACTTATTGTGCGTGAGTATTCCCCCCTTTACGCCACTGACCCGACGCTTGTGCAAGCTCTGAGTGAGCAGTGCTATTGCTGGCACAAGCCTCCACCCGGTCGGCCATGGCCACACCGATGGTCCGGGGTCGCTCGTCAGCTAACGCCTGTTGGATCTTGGATTTAGCGGAGCTAAGAGCTAGGAACAGGCCATGCACTTTAATTAGCAAAAGCAGGAGGCTTCTGAGCATTGGAAGAAGAATAAGGAAAGGGTAAAAAAATAGAATCGAATGAATCAGATAAACCAATGCCAATAGACCACAGATAGTGGCGCATCCGGGTGCTGGGCCTCCCTAGTGCTACCAAACTGCTACTACCTCCCGGAATTAATTCCTCCCCTCCCCCTCTGTTAGGTCGGCGTGTTGGTATTAGCCCGTTCGTTGGCTGCGAGGTGCTGTGTTGTGCACTGCAGCGTTGTGCCGGTCACAATCACAGTCACAGGCGCGGTGCAGGTACTTGTACTTAGCCGTAGTGGCGACTTTCAGAAACAGGTGCGGGGCGCTGAAAATACACGTTTCGTCACTTCGCCATGACGCTTGACGGGCATGGACTGTCTTGCATCCATGTAGCGTCCAGTGGTGGGTTGTGCCCCACAAAAGTACTGGGTACTTTGGCCATTAGTACTTCTAATTTTCGCCATGGTGGCTGCTGCCCTTCCAAAGCAGTAAATTGCTCTGCCATGGATACTGCGGGAGCAAGTACATGGCTCGCTCTTTCGCCGTTTCTCCCCCTCCCTGTGCCTGTGCCTGTGCCACTATCGAGTGCGCTCCCTCCGCACTCTTAATATTCCCACTACGCCCTTGTAGCCCGCCGCCGACGCAATCCTTCTTCTCGTCTTCTTTAATTGACACGAGGTAGCCCACTTTGCTCTCATCAACAAAGCTTTCTGGATATACAGGGAGGTTTGCCGCGCGCTTGCAGATACTGAGTTTCATATCTCCTACCTTTTCCCACCTGACAAATACCCCAGCAGGCAGGACAAGACAGCTCTACACGCGAGATCTTGCCCTAGTATCATCTTCGACACCACGCCGACTAATCATTAATCCTCTCCTTTTCTCCCAGTCGTCTGTCTTCCTCTTATCAGCCCCTTCTCCCCCCTCACCTGGAACCTGGAGAATCACATCTGGATCCCCGCCAAAGAAGAAGGAGGAAACCTCGACATCATTCAGGGATCGACTGGAACCCGCATTTGAACTGAGGGGGTGTCTCAGTTCAAGACATTCATCCGCCATCAGCATCTTGATAGACTACTCTCAGAGCCGCTGAGGAGCTCATCAGTCATCAAGATGGCTGATACTACGATAGACAGACCAGCTATTTATCTCCATGTGGAGATGGGTGTTTCCTGGCGCCCTCGAAAACGGTCACCCAAAAACCACACCATCACTTACGCTTCCAAGGCTGCTCGTGAACATCTTGCGAGTGTCTCACAGCAAAACCTCCCGCTACCACCAGCGGGTCTTCAGCATCAGCCGGCACAATATCAAAACAACTATCAGAGCAACTTTGAGCAGTTCCAGGCCGTTCCCTATCTGCCCTTCGCCGCTGCACCAGGGCAGCACCTCAGCCTCCCTCCCGCGGTACCCTATGGCCAATACCAGCCTGAGAGACAGCACGATCATCTACCTCTGAGACGCACTCGAAGCGGCTCCTTCCATGAACGTGGCCACTCTGCACCCCCATTTAACTCAGCGCCTTGGCTGGACGAGCCAGAGCCTATGACTGCCACCGCTCTTCCCCAGCGAAACGCGAACCCCCAGAAGATGAAAGCCCTTCCACCCACACCTGATAACTTCCGCCTAGGTGAGGACGACATGCCATGGACCCCTACTGGCCCTTACGCCATGGAATACTACCGAGATGACGATGAGGAGCAGCCTGTCAGCTCAATGGGCAGCGAAAACCGCCGTGGTTCTGTCCGCCCTCGCCATGAGCGTGAGAGAGGACGGACTTCCGAGATGGAGGGTCTGGCAGCTGCCATGTTGACGGTCGACAACGGATTTGAAGATCAGTGGTGGTACCAAGGCTCACGACTGGTTAATGTAGCTGGTGATTTGATTACGCCCTCGGCCGTGGCTAATCGATGTGCACCCGGAGGTACAATCAGATGGCCTGTGGCCGACGACGACGACAGGAGTGCGTTCCGTGAGCGAGAGCCATTCCACTCAATAGAGCCATTCCATCCAATGGAGGGCCCTGTTCCATCAACGATTCACTCTCCTCCCCCTAGCGTCCTGGAGCTTGTATCACCGCTAAGCGACTTTTCCAGTGATACACTAAACTCCTTGAACTTCCTGGCTCTGAAGAGGTCCTTAACATACAACTCGGACGAACTTCATATCTAAAACAGACGAGCCTGTTGACTCGGTTCTTATTTTCTAATACTTGGATTGCGACGATTATCATTGGGAGGCGCGGACATAAATTCGGCATAAGCGGCGTACATTACTCGGGAGGCATGAAGCCAGGAACCATCCGACCAACACATATACCCATTGCATTACATGGTTCGAGGTGAGGAGCTAGAAAGCAATAGCTCTATGTATCAGGGACATATTCGATTACAGGCGTTTATTGGAATGAAAGGACAGGAATTTATGTTCCTTAGTATTTGGTGGAATGTTTGATTTTGGTTCTATGGGGATGAGTTAAGGGTGTAATTCTTAGTTTCTAAGAGTGTCGACAAACAGACTTACTATCTTAGGCATTCAAATCAATTTAAGGCATCTGAAGCCTCACACTCATGTTCTTGTTTCTTCCTGTCAACTCCGGGATCTTGGCCTGTGAATGGGCCACAGTAACTACACCGACAAGCGACTGACATAAAACAGGGCACACTATTGCTCTTTTTTTCATGTAAGTCAGGGACCTTATTTTCTTATCAATAATACTAATCATAATAATAAGCTAATTATAAATTATTCTATAATATTTAGCTCGATATTATAGTTATTACTAGGTTAATTGTTTTGATATTGTGTTGCAATTCAACGCTGGAGGTTCTGGGTGTGCCATGTTTGATGTCAGTCGCCTGACCGACTCGAGATAATTACCAGGGAGCGGCACAGCAAGTTTACTTTTCTACCCCCCCCCAGAACTCCTCGCGCCTATACAGGCGATGTGCCCGCTAGTCTTACACGCCCAGTTGGAATCACGGCGAACCCGGCGCTAATCTTGACATCGGGAAAAATTTCTTCTCGCAGTTCAGATGATGGCGAGAGAAGGATTCTGTTGTCTTCAACTCCCATTCAGCCTGACTTGGGAAAGCTTTGGACTTGGCACGTTCCTCCCCAAGACACCAGGGAGACCACCAGGGATGCTCAATGGCTCGAATGCGCTCCGGGACTAGAGTCGCTTTCATATGCAATGCACTATTGGCCGTAGCAGGGTCTTCTCATCGGAAGGATGACCGCTAGAAAAGGCCATCTAATATATGCGGCCTCTCTTCTTTATGAAATCTGGAGACCGCTGTGTTATCAATATTGAGACTTCAGCGTAGGGGAGAAACATTAATCAACGAGGTTTGGAATGATTTAGTCGGACAGAAACAAAGGTATTGCATCACTTGATGCAGTTATGTGCAACAAGGTTGTCAATCTCCCTTTGAGATCTTTGCCAATGCGCCTCCAAAATGAGGAACGAGTGATGAATGCTCCGGGGATCGAAGAATTTCGAACCACGAAAAGATCTTTATTTGATCTGGAATCAGGAAACTTTGGTTTATAAAAAACGGAGGAGAGCAGGAACGAAGGAAGGGGAAAGAAAGTGATGTGGTGACCAGGGCGCTACGAGCTTCAGACCTCACGGCTGGGAACAGCATTAGGGGCAGCATATACGCTACATAGGTAGGCTGCTCAACAGTATGAAGATCCAGGCTCGTCATGTAGGTATTCAGGAAAAGTCTTTGATCTAAACTATCACCATCAGTTCAACGCTTAGAGGTAGGTAGGTACCCAAGTATCTGTACTATCACGTGACTTAGTCCGAAAAGGGGAGACAGATTGTCGCGATCTGAGAGCACATCGTCTCCAGTCTAAATTTTATCATCCCGATATCGTATCAAATTCCCTTCACATCACGCCGCCGACATAATACGAAAATATAAACGATCGCACGCCCCTGTCTCTCAATTTCGGCTAGAATATTTCATATTGCGTTCACATAGCGCCCCAATACAGTACAATCACAACACAAGTCCTCGACAGACAAGATGGCTATGGATCATGGCAGAGACCCTTGCCCTTGGGTCGTTTTGAACGATTTCGGTGGTGCTTTCGCCATGGGGTGTATCGGAGGTGCCCTCTGGCACGGGGTGAAGGGATTCCGGAACAGTCCTTATGGCGAGCGGCGAGTAGGTGCCATCACAGCTGTCAAGCTGCGGGCCCCCGTCTTGGGCGGCAAGTGAGTATTCTTCGCAACTCCGGCCATTCTCGAGAGGAGGACAAACGAGCTGACATATATTCGCAATCCAGTTTCAGTGTGTGGGGAGGTTTATTTTCTATTTTCGATTGCGGACTCAAGGGTTTACGAAAGAAGGAGGACCCGTGGAATGCGATCGGAGCAGGCTTCTTCACCGGAGGGTCTCTGGCGATTCGGGGCGGTTTCAAGGCGGCAAGAAATGGTGCCATTGGGTGTGCCATCCTGCTGGCAGTTATCGAGGGTGTCGGTATCGGGTTTTCAAAGATGATGGCCGGTGGCACGAAACTAGAAGTGAGTTCCCTCTTGGACATCCTGCTCGGGTTTTGGGGTTGCATTATACTAACAGGCCTACTCCTACAGGCGCCCTTGCCACCCGCCTCCCAACCCAACGAAGGGCACGCTCTTGCATAAACGATATTTGGCCGCAGTTTCAATCTCCACCTTGTAATAATTTTGTATATTACTGTCCTTCGCAAGCAGAAGTACGCCCAAATCAGTTAATGGTATGAAATGGACAAAAGCACGGGGTTCTTTCGATGTTCCAGAGCATGGCAGGCAACATTTCCTCTGGTTTCCCCCCTCATTTTTACTTAGCAAAATCCTCAACTACTGGAGGCATGCTGGAAATTCTCCATCTCTCGTGACGTTCAATACATCAACTCCTGTGGTTGCTAAGGCGTGCTCACGGTACTTGGACAGTGATGGCCACCCTGCGGCAGTACGAACGTCCAATGCAGTCCGAAGCAAGTCTAGTCGGAAATCAGTCCTGTTCTCAATTTCGGCCAGCCGAGATTAAAAGTTGTACCAAGCCATGTCGGCCGTGCATTGCCCAAATGTTTATTCAGTGGGTCGTCGACGACGCTCTGGTTTCTTGGTCTCAGAAATTTCTATTGCTTGCATCTTATCAAATGAAGGACTTTTTTGTGGTTAGTGTATCAAACTGTTTCGGTACCGAATTGAATCGAGATGCAAACTCTTCCTCGTTAAAATGGGCCAGTTCCAGGTATGGTCCAGCTATGTGGCCAAAGCACTGCGTTTATAACTCTACGGTGTTTTCTCTCCCTTGATCGTTCACGCAGGCTCTCGAACATGTTCGAACTTCCTCCTTCTCATAGTTGATATGCTCGAATGTTTCAGCTTTTTCAACCGTGAGTTAGTTCTGACACAGAGAGAGAGTCTGTTAAGAGCAAGCTAATCATGCGTTGGGATCTCACAGGATGTCCCAGTTTCTTCTCAACAGCTCGAGTTCTTGGAAGCTGCTGGATCCAATGTAAAAAAAAAAAGCATCCTACAAAGCTATTGTATTCTCAAACCTATTGTTTCCAGATGGACCTAAGTCCTTGTCAACTAGAGAAAATGTTAGAAAATACATCACGGTGGAACACATAATATTTAACTCAGAGGCCGCCATTGTGCCAACGATATTCATTTGGTATCAAGGCATCTCTTCCCAGACAACTCATCCATTCAAGTGCCGGCACTGACGTGTGTTTCGTCGATCGCAATTTACGGCTTCAAAGGGGCGCTCAGAATGCCAGCCACAGCAATGGGCTAAGAATGCAACTTGAAATAGCAAATAAATGCAAGTTAATATCTTTACTTTTTGACCTGAATCAATTTCAGGGTAATGAACGGGAGAAAAGCAACGATTTAGATGACATCGTTCCATGGTCATTCTTGCTCTTTATTGGTTGTCCTCATGTGGCACCTTGATGGGAAACCGGGGGGACGTTTTATGTAGATGTAACTTTGGACCGGCTGGCTCTCTCACAACTCTTGATGTTCAGGGGTTGATGCAAATGGCTCATGTATTGAGGCTATTTTAGATGCCTATGTTAATGGACGCATAAATGGCGAACCAACGAGCGATCAGTAATGCAGAAAGAAACCGGATCACATTTGTTTCTAGCACGGAGAAATGTTTCCAGGTAATGTAGTAGTAACACCAACACAGAGTTACACTGCACACCAGTGTGTCATGCTCACTCGCTTACAGCAATGGATAGTCCCCGCCACGGCACAAGTCCCTTTTGAACTAAACCGGTACATGAAGATAAGCAAGATTGACTCTCCTTACTCCCAGATGATTCAGGCTGTGATGATTGGTCCGGCGTGGGATGTGTCAGATGCCAAGAGATGCAACCTATGCTTGACCTTCCCCTCCGGGAGCAGGATCCATGCTTCCCCATACTCTAAACCGTATTGTGATGACCTTCACAATCCTCCTTGAACTGGAAGCCTGGTATCAATTGGGGAACCCATCAAATACGCTCACTTGGCGTGCATGGATAAATGGATAAGCTCCGGCCGGTTTCAGCGAGAACTTTTGCTCGATACACTATTCAGTGTCCGAGCCTCCCATGTCGCGCTGGTGATGTTGCGAGGCTTTTCGGGAACCCCGCCCTTGCCCTGCCATTCTTGATAGGAACCATTGTGTCCTTGGGCCTGTCGCGCATAGATTGTTGGTGGCAACTAGTACCCAAGTGCCAAGGAGGGAGGTAGGGGTCGAGGCAAAGAGAATATATAAACGAGGCTTGTTCCCACAGGAAAACTTCTTCACTCCAGTCAAGTTGCCATCCCTTCTCTCCTGTATACATCTCGCCCCCCGTAGGCCCTGTTGGTTGCTCCGCAAACAGCCATGCGTTTGGTCACTCTCTCAAGTGCAGCACTGGGCCTTGCCTCGGTGGTCGCTGGAAAGGAACTCCCTAAAGATGAATTCAGAGCTGCCAGTAAGAGTTTTTCCTCCCTTCTCTTAGGTTGTATCACCGAAGAGGATAGTTCTGACAGCCCACCTAGATCTATATGACAATGGAGCTGTCCATATGGAGAGCATGGAGAGAAAGAAGGCCCTGTGGTTGGCTGAGTTCGATGCTGGCTTGCTGAACTCGACCAAATGGCCACGCCTTAACTACACCCCGTGTGTCAATGGCAAGGCCGAGGCCGTCAAGGGTGATCCTCTCCTCACCTTCAGCTGCAGGAACATTGACCTCTACGACTTCATCAACCATGCCACCCTTGGGTCGCCCGATGGCTGGGACGAGCTAGGGGACGGTCTCCTGCTGACCGGCAGCTCGTCTTGGGGTTGGACCGACCCGGAGTCGAAGCGTGAATTTGTTGCCAGTGGCATGTATGAGGGCACGGCTTTCATTGAGATTCTGCCCGAAGGCCGAATGCTTCACCTCGGAATCTTGTAAGGAACCACTCCCTAATCATTGGTTGGGAATTGTTTACTGATGCCTTTACAGGCCTTGCCCTGCCCCCACAGACCCAAACGCCTTCTGGAAGGAGATCCGTAGTTATAACAACTACATGCTGATTGGATCTGAACTGAGAGACCACGGTATCCAAATCTTCGACATGACAAAGGTATAACTAGCTCTCTTCCCCCCCAAGGATTCTCTTTGTAGATTGTTAACACAGTCATGACAGCTTCTCAACCTCGATCAGAGCAAGCTGCCCATCACTTTTGACATTGTGAAGGATGTCGCCGGTCACTTCAAGGATCTTCCCATTGGCGCCAGCCATAACGTTGTTTCCAACCCAGAGGGCCAGTACGCCGTCGCAGTGGGCTCACGTCCTCGCAACGACTCGTGCCGTGCTGGCCTCATCTTTATCGACATGAAGGACCCAACCAACCCTACCAGAATAGGCTGCAACGGGGAGGACGGCTATGTCCACGACGCCCAGTGCCTCACATATCGTGGTCCTGATAAGAAGTATGTCGGCAAAGACATCTGTTACGGATACAACGAGGATACCCTCACCATCTATGATGTGACGGATAAGACCAAGTCTTCAATCATCTCCATTACTTCTTACGAGGGTGCAACTTATACTCACCAAGGATGGCTGCTTGATCCTGAGTGGCAGCAGTATCTGTTGATGGATGATGAGCTTGATGAAGTTGACGCTGTTGGCCCAGCTGCAGAGTAAGCTCTACCCCAACCCCCCATCTTTCATCCCTTCCCGAACCAGAAGCCATTCTAACGCAGAGATTACTTCAGTGGCTATCCCGTTACTTACATCTGGGACGTAAGTTCATTGGAGGCTCCCAAGCAGACAGGCCTCTACAAGGGTAAGTGATCTCTCGTGATGGTTTTCCACCCTCGGTAGCGACGGGCATCTAACAAGCAGCCAGGTACCGTAAAGACAGTCGACCACAACCAGTACATCAAGGATGGCCTCTCCTACCAGTCCAGCTACGTTGCTGGTCTCCGCGTCTACGACATCTCCTCCATTCCTGAGGATCCCACGGGCCGCAGCACCTGCGAGGTTGCCTACTTTGACATCCACCCCGAGGACGATGCCCTCCCCGGAGGCGGAGAGGTTTCCATGTACGGCTCGTGGTCTTCGTACGCCATGTTCGAGTCTGGGTTCATCTTCATCAACACCATCGAGCGCGGCGGCTACCTGGTCAAGATGACCAAGCGCGATAGCTGCCCCAAGACGCGCAGCTGCAACGCGGACAACTGCCTCCGCGCCATGCGGGCGTCGTCCATCGAGGGCCGCCTCGGAGAGAGCCAGCAGTTCTGCTCCGGGTTCACCCAGGGCTTCAAGGCCGATGTGAGCGTTGTTCCCAAGTATGCCTCGGAGGCCTGCGGAGACAACGTGATCGCTCGTGTTAGTTCTGCTTGCGCATGCCTGCCGGCAGCCACTCCGGCTCCGTAAGTAGGAGGGCAGTGACAGAGAGGTAATAGCTCGGTTATGAGCCGGTCTATATCTTGAATCAAAGTTCAAATAAACGAGTTATGCATGGAAGGGGAATGAAAGGGTTCACCGATAATGTCGTGACACCACGTTGTAGACATCTAAAAGAAAGAATAGACTACCTATACCAATTGTATAATGCTGAACAAGTGCCGACTAAATAGGTACTCACTAATTACCGCCCGTAGATTATTATTGTGCAATTGAGTTGTGGCCAGTATGCCAACTCATCCCGGAGTGTGTTGGAAGGGGCTCCAGGCATGCAGTTGATATCCAATTTTCATGAAGGAGAGTCAACTCATCTTACCATTAGTCTTAACGCAGTGTTCTTAATCTTCTATAATATCGAGCACTGGCTTGTGTCAATAAATGTTCGGTTTCGACATGGGATGCTGCAGCCAACCAGAACCAGCACATATCCATGCATTTAGTCGTCAGGAACCAACTGACCGATGTCGCTGGCAGCCGCTGTACAAATACCCACCACAGTACGCGGCGCACTATAGCCATGCAGGTACTGGATACTTCCCACCCACTTGGCGTGCAACCCTCCCTGACTCCCAGGGCCCGATCGGCGGTGACCCCTCCAAACGGTGACTGTGCTGAATTGGCGGCGAAGGCTTCATTTTTGGCTAGAGGCAGGAAAAAAAACCAATTCTTCCTCCAAACCAGCCTCAGAGCATCCAATTGTTGTAGCACCGCAT